CTTTTTAAAACAAAATCGAAGCTGAATCAAGCTAAACCCACGCTAATGAGGAGGTTGCGCTATATCAAATGGTAGACTCGGCTGCAGTTGATCAACCAACCTATTGTTCATTAGATGAAACTTTCATGAGGCGAATCTGAGACCCCAGTGCACGCCAAGCATATCACCCACTTCAGCCAGGGCACGATGGTTTAATGTCCTCTTTTCCAGTCTTTACCGGAAGACAGGACTATGGATGGCCCCTACGACTCATCGTGCATTTCATGTTGGATTGAAAGCTCTGACTTATACTGGATTTATAATCCCCGCCTCATACTTCGTATTAGAGATAGTAGAAGAATGTTTGTTTGCCTGTTCGTGAAATTACATATCAAGCCTTGACGCATCTTTAAGACCACATAACCGTTTGATTTGAACAGGTGCGTCACAAATGTATGCAACCAGTGCCGGATTTAGTTAAGTTAAGATACCCCTTACTTGGGCCGTGAAGGTAGTAGGCCCTGTAGGCCTACACAGGTAGTCGGGCATATATACTCGGGGAATTTAGTAGTTAAAATACCCACAGACTTTTGAAAAATTCTTCGTAATTTTTGTGCCAAGAAGATGGTCCCCGCCCACGCCTTCGCATCCGTCCCCCGCTCAGCAGGGGCTCATGTGCTTAAGTACACATAAGTACAATGGTAAATCCGGTACTATATGCAGCTTACCCTCCCTGCATGCCGAAGTTAAGATTTAAAGTGAAAACAAGCAAACACACACAAAAGCAAACAACAAAACAAAAAGCAAACAAGGAAACTGTTTTATATGATTTAAGCTTTTTTCAGAGATGTTCTTGCTAATATATTGAATTTATCTGAGTTGAATAATGTCAAAATAAACCAAAAATTAAACTTTTGGAAACAAGGTGAGGAATCGGAAGCTATTCGTGTCACATTTGGCAAGCAAGACAGATTGGTTCTTATCGTGAACTATATCCCTCCACCATGATGCCTGAATGTGTCAGAGATCATATAGCGGAAGTCTTAAACGATTTTTGGATTTTAATACGATGAATTTTAAATAAGTGGATGCTTTTGAAACGAGGCGACAAAGCACGTGACCCTGCAGTTAGTTATTAGATTCATAGAATAATTAGACTGCTTAATCTCCTCATTTTGCGAAGGCCTTCCATATGCAGCTTCCCCTAGCACATTCTATGTCGACTGAATAATAAAGTCTATGACAAGTGGTCTCTTCTTTCATCAACTCAAGGAAAGCCGAAAATTTCAAATGCCCCCAAAAAAGGACTAAATTTGTGGAAAGCAAGCACTCACACAAACACGTATATTTGTGATGGTTTAAAAAGTTCAAAAATGCTAAACAAAGATGTTGGGATGAAATTATGTCAGTCTTTTATTTTGCCGGAGAGGGCTTTAAAACCATGGGTGATTTTGTCTGGGGCATTATAACCGGCCTTTTTTTAAAAATAAATCCTCTGGATATTTTGTCTGTACGCTGAGTTGTTCAAGAGTGTGCATGACCTCAAGATTTATATTAGTGAAATAAAATGCAAACACTCCCTTATGGTTAAAATAAAAACAATTAAATAAATCAAGGACAGTTGCCCTTTTATTAGTAAAGGATATGATGAGAAGGAGTCAGAAATTTGGACGCCGAGTAGGAGTTGAGATGGCCACCACCTTAAAGAGATTGTGTAAATCTCTGTCAAGTGTTGATGTTATTCTACAACTTACAAATGTAATGGAGTGATTCAGGTTTGAAATATCAATATGTGAATGATTAATTTTAGGAGAATTCTTCTTAGATTTCCAGCGGTGTACGTAATTTAGAAAGGAATCGTTATTTTAAAATTAATGGGGATCGCTCTTAATATTATTTCATATGCTAGCACCTAGACTGCCTATTTGAGAGGGAGCCTTTTGTATTTCTGTGCTTAGATGTGGACAGTCATCAATTATTAGTAGCTAAACCAATGACTTTTGATGAGGAAATAATTATATTAATTGCAACACTAATATTAGCATCATGAGTGATTTTAAGAAAAGAGTCCAGACCACCTTCAACTAAAGCTTTCAGGAAGAAAGGAAAGAAAGTTTAGTCTAACACAGAACCCAGGAGATTTGGTCGTTGACAATGATGAACGAGATTAGGTCGTTGCCACTGATGAACAGAGTAGTGTTAGTCAAATTCACAAGGACATTCAAGAAATTTATCTTACCCTGAAAGGGTTGGTTACAAGTTAAGGTATCAACTCACGAATAACGAAACAGGAAATAGATGGAGTGATGTCCGAAATTGTCTCCACTGTTTGCCAAAAATGAAAACAGTTGAAAAGAGAAATAAAAGATTGGATGACGGATTTGTATGAAAGAATAGCGTCTCTAGAGTTACAAAATTAATAATTGAAAGAAAAAATTGAAAATGACAAATAAATTCAAAAAGAAGAAAGGAAAAAAAAAAGGAAAACGTGAATTTCAAAGCAGTACTCAGAACAACAGTACTTCGGGAAGACGAAACAACGCAGAAAGCCAACCAGAGCTAAAAATATTCCATAGTTTTCTTATGAATATTCGACATTCTAAAGACACAATTAAATTTGAAAACCAACATAACTCAATTAAAAAAGCTACACGTAAGCATATGAATTCGATATAAATACCATCCACAAAATACACGGAACAAAAGGAGTACCAATGATTGTAACAATGAAACTTGGAATCACCCAGGCCAAAACAGTAGGTGTAAAGGAAAATAGGAAATTGAAAGAAAAACATTCAATAGGAATGACTGAATATGTCACCCGACTAAAAATGGGTCTCATTAACGGGCTTTCTAAGCATTCAAATATAGAATCTACCTGGTACTATAATTGCCAAAAGAAAATCATTAGAGGACACATTTGTCCTTTTTGTGGAAATTATTGCATATCTTGTGTTGATTGTGGGGCGGTTTTTATACAACTGTTATACTTTGTGAATAAAACATTTCACTTTCCTAAATGTTATGATACTTTTTAAATACCAAAATGCACATAAAATAGTTGCTGGTTGCACACAAACAAATAAAATAAGCATGTAATGACAAATACAGTAACCACCTTCAAACAAGATGTTCATTCTAATGTGTGTAACACACGTGTATCTTTTTTATTATCTCGTCTCATCCGTTTAGTTAGGCAAAATAAAATAAGCCAGTGTGATTGTTCCAAACAGTTATTTATGGGTTTTGTAGATTATAACTTATCCTGGACAAAGTGCTTTTAACAAGTACTCTTTGTTCAAGCTTCCCATAAATCGTATCCAGTCTGGGTGATTTAACCTGTAATTTGAAATTACTAGTAACTCCCCGGTAGATGCGTAATATGAGAATAGTATTACGGTGTAGTTTGATTGTCGTAATCACTCACTTGCGATTAGTTTTGACAATTATATCGGTAAAACGGAGTAAAGAGTGCCAGGGGCATCTATAGCAGCTTACCTAAAGGGATTGAGCAATAATTACAGTAATAATTACAGTGGGCAAGTATTAAGTAATAATTACAGTAATAATTTCAGTGGTAAGTATAAAGTTATAGTTACAGTAATAATTACAGATGGCAAGTATTAAGTAATAATTACAGAGGGCAAGTATTAAGTAATAATTACAGTAATAATGTCGGTGGATACGTATTAAGTAATAGTTACCGTCGGTAATTTATTCGTGCTGTGTATGCTGTTGTTTAATTGGAGAGGAGTAATGTTTACCATGTTATATATTCAACAATAGTTAACGTCATTGGCTGTATGTTATCTCCAGTAGCCTGCAATGACTGATAGTCATAATGATGGTGATGACGATGAACATAATAAATATTGTTATTGTTTTGAACTGACAAAATTCTGCTTCAAATTGGTCAATAAAATATTTTATGGTTCTGTCTTTGTTCCCATTTTCTTTACTCACTGCCAGAATAAAATGGCAATTATTACAAGCTATTTTTGCCCAGAAGTGCAAAACGAATCCCACAACCTTTGTATACATACGTGTATGCATTAACATTAGCATCAATAATCCTCCTAAGTTTAATATATGTATTCATTAACATTATCACGAATAATCCTCCTAAGTTTTAAATATGTATGCATTAACATTAGCACGAATTATCCTCCTAAGTTTAATATATGAATGCATTAAGATTAGCACGAATAATCCTCCCAAGTTTAATGTAGGTATACATTAACATTATCATGAATAATCCACCTAAGTTTAATATATGTATTCATTAACATTAGCACGAATAATCCTCCTAAGTTTTAAATATGTATGCATTAACATTAGCACGAATTATCCTCCTAAGTTTAATATATGAATGCATTAACATTAGCACGAATAATCCTCCCAAGTTTAATGTAGGTATACATTAACATTATCATGAATAATCCTCCTAAGTTTAATATATGTATTCATTAACATTAGCACGAATAATCCTCCTAAGTTTAATATATGTATTCATTAACATTAGCACGAATAATCCTCCCAAGTTTAATATATGTATGCAATAGCTTACCATCGAATAAAGTTTTGTTATAATTCGTACTGACATTGTTTTATCGCAGTGTTGGTAATTCTATGTTTCTATCCAAGTCTTTTCTTTACCGTGTAGTATGTTGATGTTCATACTTACTGGGATTCTTAAATCCCATAAGTCATTACAGATCATTACACCGCTACGGACTTCAATTTATTGAAGATTTGTGCGTGTGTACTTAAATATGCATGTTGTATCGTGCGTCTCAGTTGAATAAGATTTAATCAAATAATCATTACGTTTCAGATTACAACTGTGTTGAAGTTATAGTTGATATATTAAATTATGAACTGTCAAAGTAGAATTGAATAAATGAATGTAACGGGTCTGAAGAGTGCCAGGTTTAAAAGGAGATATCCTTTGCTAGGTTAAACAAAATGTATCCATTATATGTTTACAAGAAACACACAATACTGCCGAGACGAGAAATATTTTGTGGCAAGTGGCTAGAGCGTCCGCCTTGGATGCGAAAGGTTGCGAGTTCGAACCTCGGCCGGGTCATATCAAAGCCTTATAAAAATGGCACTAACAGCTGCTTACAGAGCATTCAGCATCAGGAGGTTAGTGTTAGGACTGATCGGCCTGGTGTCAGTATAATGTGACTGGATGGGGCATTAGTGTCAGGACTGATCGGCCTGGTGTCAGTATAATGTGACTGAATGGGGCATTAGTGTTAGTACTGATCGGCCTGGTGTCAGTATAATGTGACTGGATGGGGCATTAGTGTTAGGACTGATCGGCCTGGTGTCAGTATAATGTGACTGGATGGGGCATTAGTGTTAGGACTGATCGGCCTGGTGTCAGTATAATGTGACTGGATGGGGCATTAGTGTTAGGACTGATCGGCCTGGTGTCAGTATAATGTGACTGGATGGGGCATGATGCCGCAATGCTAGACATTCACTATAAGCTGCCACACTGCAGAGACAGTAGCAATATGACTGAAAAATTGTTAAAGCTACGTTAAAAAGTCCATATCACACACACCCTCTCCAGAATAACTTTTAATTGTCGACCCCCCTCCTAAAAAAATGTGAATTGATATGGTCATAAAGATATTGCTAGTTTTGATAATTCATCTATAATCATTGGTAGTGACTGAAAAGTTGTTTAGGACAAGAAATTCGACGTATAAATATCAAATTATGAATCTCATGGTCCGAAAACAATATTAGGAAAGAACTCGATTTACTACATCCTTAGAGAGTAGTCAATCCAGATGCTAGATTATTTATCCGGAGACAGCTCACTCTTATAAAACAAAGCAGATGACATTATTTCCTGATTTAAGAGGACATGTTTTCATATCTGACTGGTTAATACGTTGTTCTAGTGTATAAAACACACCACTCTGTTATAATTTTACCTTATCCTTATTAACACTTCCCTAAGGTCATTGTTATTAGAAATTTAATGCAAGACTTTGAAAACAAAAGGAATACACTAATACAGTTAAACAATGTATTGTTAATACTTTTGAAGAACGTCATACTCAGGGTGATAAATATCATGTACAGCAAAAAAAGCTATCTTGGCTTGCAAGCTTAAATAAAATATCTTCCATGATATTGTCGGTCATAAAGAGCTCAATGATCCATTATCAAAGGCTGCACGGACTCGAATCCTAAGGGACTTTGCATGTTCATACGCAACCACATCAAACCTGGTGGAGTGTTTGTAAATTATAAAACCCTCCTCCATCCTGTTAGCTTGTACCTCCCATATTGACTTTAGAAACTAAAAACATCAAGGAAATGAAAAATAAATGCAAATGACTTACTGATTTCATTCATTTGATTTATAATTTCTAACTGGATTGCCACGAAACTTTATTAAAATTGTCACCTTCCTCGTATTTCAAAACGTAACGGGACTTCAGCACTAACATGGCTTCTATATTTGCGTGGGCGAGGATCAAACCACAATTAATAGTTCCGGTTCAGTACCACAAAAATTTAGTCCCAGTAGATCATTAGAGTATTTCTTCGGTCTCTTTTAGGTGGTGATGCAACAGTTAAGATTTAGGCATTCTTGGTATGGATTTAAAGGTAATTGTTTATTCTTTAGAATATGAGCTTATGGTGTGGTTGTCTGTGTGTTTCAGCGACAGCCTACAGTGAGTAATAAGGTCTTGGTAATGATCCGTAGGTGAAAGATATATTCCATTGCACGCTGGTTACTATACAGTTCAGCCTCTCGAAGAAATGCCGGTGAACCTATGACAAGAACTCCATCTTTGAAGTCATCTTTGTAGGTATTTTAGATTAACATACGATTTGCATTGATTGTCCCTCAGTGGAAAGTTCAGTACCGAGAAACAAATGTAGAGAATATATGGTGAAATTGTTTGTGTTCTGGGTCCTGTATATTTGTTTACAGAATAGGAGTGCATTCGGAATAGCGTTGACCTTTTGTGTCAAATCTAGATAAAACATCGGATATAATTTCTTGCCATTGAGAAATATATTCTGAACAACTTTTGTTCACATGAAACTATGGCATCGGAACGAGACAAAGTCACCACTGGAACATTGTCGGTCTTTGCTGTCGAAACATATGTGGTGCTCTGTTTTCTAAGTGAATTACTAAACACTCCAAATTGATATATATTCCTACAGCTACTTCTGAAGCTGACGGAAATATCCATAGTTATATGGTATTTATTGAGAGGAAAGAGATGTAAACTTTATGTTACTCAAGTTCTCTACTAAATCATTTTAAACTGTCACAGAACAAAATACAAGTCAAACGGATAAAATATACTTTCCCCAGCTATGTCTACTGTTGGATGTACGAAAACAGCAAGGTGATGTAAGCTGAACACAAAATGCATTCCATTTTATTAATCATTTTGCTTAAAATGTTTATCAATGTAGTGCATCATTGTGACCTATATGGTATTATGGGAATTCTAATAAGCCATTTTGCTTTATGCATTATTAATTACTAATGATATTTGTTAACTGACACTCTAAATTTTACATAAGAAATATTTAAACAGATTATTTGAATTTAACTTTGTAAAACTAATCTTAAAATGGTTACATAGCTGACATAACCAAATATTCATTCCATAGAGTTTAGAATGTTTTGGATCAAAAGTTCGTATTCAGCATATCATATAGGCTGATATTGTACATACAGTGAATCTGTAAGACACATTTCTGGCTTTGTGAACTTTGTATATCCCAAAATGTTATTTTCGTCATGAATATGCCTCTGTATGGTAACACATTTCAATTTAGTACTTTGACAGAGTGGGGTATTGTAGCATCAACTGATATCTGAATACATTAAATCATTGAGCTTAAACATACACTCTTAAAATACACTAACAATGTTCAAACAAATCATTTGGATTATATTTGTACATTTATTCTTAACAAGTACAGTGTATATGTCTCACATATGCAAATTGACATCCCTGTTTACAAGATTTGGGATTAGAATTTCACATTTAGTTGATGAAAACGTTGGTACCTATAGTTGATCAGTGTGACCACATTTGGTTGTATTCACTTGCCTCGGGAAAAAATTGCTTATAGTAATATATATTAATTTAGTACATTGTCATTTGCCTTTCCTGTATACTGGCATGTACTAATGTTTGGACCAATGATCAAACCTCACCTCCCCAACATTGCTTTAAACATTGTGATGATACTCTACCCTAGTAGTCATTAACCTGTAAATGATATGCTTCTAAAAACCTCATATATTTTTCACTTTATTACATGCCAATTGCTTCACATTTCACATGTTTAATATTATTCCCATGCCAATTGCTTCACATTTCACATGTTTAATATTATTCCCATGCCAATTGCTTCACATTTCACATGTTTAATATTATTCCCATGCCAATTGCTTCACATTTCACATGTTTAATATTATTCCCATGCTAATTGCTTCACATTTCACATGTTTAATATTATTCCCATGCTAATTGCTTCACATTTCACATGTTTAATATTATTCCCATGCTTGCAACTTTAGTATTATTTTGAAATCAACATATCTAACACATTTTAACTTTATTTACCTACATCTTTTTGTTTTCTAGAATTAAGTGAAACATGTTATATCTTTTTAGGTCTTAGACTGGTATCTTGAACAAAGTGTTAGAGTTGGATCAGTTTGGAAGCTCTCCAGTAGTCCGGTGGTGATAGCAATGTTTCATAAGAACATGCGCAGTATACTGCCATAGGTGACAAAGATTAGTTCATACAAGCATACTGATTTATAGGACCTCAAAAACATAGGTTAAATCTTCAAGAGAGAGATTAGCAACATTTTTCAGTAAGAGAGAGCCTAAAATTATATTTTCCTATCACCTTGTAGTTATCGACATTGAAATGGAATGCATCTTTGCAATGAAACATGGTAGTGGTCCCATCAAAACATTAAATTTGAGTGCGCTATTAGTTATACAAATAACTGCCTAAGTACCTGACTCAATAAATGTGGAACATAGCAGCTGTCATTGTTTCTTCAGTGTGTATGTATGTATCAGGACAGGCATATTTCAATTTGTTGCCAAAATCACTATGAGTTATCTTGTTTCGCTACCCCCGGGAAAAATGTGATACGGACCCATACTACCATTTGTTTTAAATACCATTCATTTGTCAAATTTGCTGTTTAAAATGTGTTAAATTTGAATTTTTAAACTTGTATGAAAATTTAATTTTTCAATGAAATTTAGATTTTAAAATGTAAATGTTTATATGAATTTCCATTAAATTTAATTTATCAATATTTTAAAATTTCAAACATATTTTCAAACATGCCTTATGGTGTATTACAATTAGAGCAATTTAAAAAACTATATATATATATATATATATATATATATATATATATATATATATATATATATATATATATATATATATATATATATATATATATATATATATATATATATCAGCTCTACACACTTTCTGACAAGTGTCATATATCTTGTTTGCAAAAAATTCAAAAAGACTTCAGGTATAAAATTAAAATATTCGTGGCATGCAAATACAAAATTTTTACTAAAATTAGTTATTAAAAAGTAGATCTGTTAAGAAACAGATCACAATTGATAGTTCCGGTTCAGTAAAAAAATATAGTCCCATTCTATTTGATAGCATTTTATTCCTGTCTCCTTTTGGTGGTGATACTGGAGTTAGATGAAGGAATTCTTGGTACTTGGTATGAATTTAAAAGCAATTGTTTATTGTTTTGAATATGAGCTTATGGCGTGGCTGTCTGTGTATTTTCCGGCGACAGTGATGATCCGGAAGTGTAATCTGTATTCCATAGCACACTGGTTAGTTTATAGTCCAGCCTCTCAAAAGAAATGCCGATGAACCTATGACAAGAACTTCACCGTGAAGTCATCTTTGAATGTATTTTAGATTAACATATGATTTGTATTGAATGATTGATTGAAGTAGGGCTTAATGCCTTTTTTTCGATGCAAGGTAGGCTATAACTGGTGGAGTAAGAACCCTGAAA